TCATGCAGTTGTTTCGATGGAGATTTTCTGGCTAGCTTAGACCCTCTCTCAGTGTGTGTCACCATCTGAAAGCATTATATATATATTTTTTCACCTTATTTATTATAAAAAAACTTTCAAATATATAGATAAGTAGAGAGCAGTACAGTGAATGCTCATAATATCTACCACCTAGATTCACCAGTTACCATTTTGCCATATTTACTTTATATAAAGACGTGTGTGTGTGTGTGTGTGTGTGTGTGTGTGTGTGTTTGTGTTTCTGCTGAACGAGTTTATAATTGTATGTAGCCCTTGTGGCTCTTGTCTGGACTTCAGTGTGGCCCTTCCTAACATAACAGTGAGGCTATTTCTTCTGCATGACCACGATACCATTATCACACTTAGAAAAAGTAATCCCCTAGTTTTATTTAATAGGTGATATTCACATTTGCCCAGTTATCCCAATTTTTAAGAAATTTTTGGAACCAGGATCTTACTCAACATTACATGTTGAATTTGTTTATAAAGTTGAGTTTATGTTTCTTGTCTCTTTTAATCCATAACAATGTGCTTAATATTTTTAAAAATACTTTGACGTTAAAAGAGTTCTTATCAGGAAAAAAATTAAATGTGCCTAGTACATGGGAGTGTAATTCCCACTTACCCATCACCTGGCTTTAGCAATTATCAGCTCATAGGTTAACTTTTTCATTTTATATGCTCACCAGTTTCTCCTGTATTATTTTGAAGCAAATATTAGACATCATATTAATCAGTTTTTTAGTATTTTTTTTTAAAAGAGAGAGTTGGCCTGTTAGGTTCAGTTGGTTAGAGCATGGTGCTGATAACACCAACGTCCAGGATTTGATCCCTATACTGGCCAGCAAAAAAAAAAAAAAAAATAGTAAAAGATAAATTAAAATGTATATATCATTGTCATACTTAAAAAATAATAATTCTTTCATATCAAATTTACAATCTGTGTTTGTATCTTCAGTTGTCTCATCTATGTCATAAATGATTTTTCACTGTATGATGAACAGGGGCCCTGTTGGTTTGTTCTTTTAAACCTTGTGAAAATGGTTTGTTCTTTTAAACCTTGTGAAAACGGGCTAGCACCAGAAATTCTGTATGTGATTGCCAACTTTGAGATCTATCATCTGTTCTCAAAATGTGATACATAGAGGGCAGTTCTAGGAATATTTTCATTGTGACACTTTGGAAAAAATTATCTTTGTCACATGTGGGTTTAGTGACTTCTGGGAGGATCTCTTAATTCAGGCCAGTGGAAATAATGGGATCAGAAACTGAATAGAAGCTATGGAGTGGGAATCACATTTAGCAGTGTCCACCTGTGAGTTAACCTGATGATGCCTGCCGGTGTCTCGCTGCTGCTGTGTGTGGTGGTCGTGAGAAGTGAAGGAGGATAAGGGGTGGCCTAGGGAGAAGGGAGCTGTCCAGGATAAGACTTTATCTGCCTGCCTTCATCCCCACAGTTCTTTCTTTTGAGACAGCCTTGCCCTCCAACCTGAGCTGACTCCTGCCTGCCCGCCAAGACTGCATAAATGCTGCTAATTTGGTGGTCTATTTTCTTATGATTTTCTCCTGAAGTCAAGCAGCTTGTAGAGAGGGCTGGATCTTTTTCGACGTTCTCCATAGCAGGGCTTGGCCCTGTATTGGTGACAAATGGCCACTCTGCTGGTGTAATGTTGTCATTGCTGTGACTGGTCACAGGTGGGCCCATGATTCTCCTCTGAGCTAGCCAGTCATTTAGGAGGAATTGGAACTGTCCTGGGCTGCCTCCTGGGAGTGTCCATGTATGTATGGCTAGAACTCCATGGCTTTCACACTGCCGTTTTCTTTATAATTAAAGAAAATGTTTCACAACCATGTTGTGGTATAGTTGGCATACAATAAAGTGCACATATGAGGGATCTTCAAAAAGTTTGTGAGAAAATAGAATTAAAAAATAATATGAATATTTCCGTCAACTTTTTGAAGCACCTTGTATTTAAAGCTTCAGTTTGACCCATGAAACCATCACTTTACTTTTTTATCCTTCAGGACTAGGAGATAAACAGCTAGAGAAAGGGACTCTTAACTGCTCTTGTCTTGAAACTTGCTTTTCTATATCTTAACTGAAAATCTGTATATTCTGCTCTCCTTTAGCTAAGCACCAGTATTGGAAGTTGGTGTATTCAAATTTTGGCAATGTTTATACATACAGTTAACAAAGCAGTTAATGACTTTCAAAATAATATAGGGAGATCTGGTAGGATCTTTCTTCAAATAGAGACTAGCTGAGGTTGGGAGTTGCCTGGTTTGGGCAAAGGGGTCAAGACTCTGGATGCAGGTGGATCTGGGTTTCAGTACCTTCTCTGCTACTTAAGACTGGGCTGCCTGTTGGGCATGCAGGAGGAATTCAGCCTCTCCATCTGTAAAACCATGAAGGGGTATTCTGGGGGAGTACGTGAGAAAGCATGATATTGAGGTCTTAATGAGCCTGGGCACACAAAGTACATAAGGACCTCCAGGTATTGACTTGTAGCTAAGGCAGAGCAATTGAACAGAAAGGACTTCACCCCTTGGAGTAAAGGGAAAATTCTTTCTTGTGGTTTTTTTAAAAAGCCCCTTTAAAACGGATGAATTTCCTGGGAGACATTCATTCTCGTTCTCTCTTTTAAATTAAAAACAAAATACATATATGTTGCTAAACACAGTTCAGTTCTGTAATTAAAACTAAAAAAAAGTTTTTAACTTAAAATTTTTTTATACTCAGCTTATTTTTTAAAACTTGAGGTAGAATTTACACATAAAACACCCCCAGATAGTAAGTGTTCAGTTTGGTGAATTTTGACAGTTGTATGTTCTCATGGAACCCCCACCTGAAACAGAATATGGAACACTTTTATCATCCCAGAAAGTTTTCTTTGCCCTCTCTCCTCTCTCTGATTTTTGTCACCATAAATTTGCTTGTGAAGTATATAAATGGGATCCTACCGTGTGTGCTGTTCTGTGTCTGGCTTCTTTAGAAAAGCTCAATGTGGTTTGAGCTTCATTCATGTTTTTTACTGTTGATTGCTAAATAGTTTTTATATGGACATACCACAATTTATCCTTTCTCTTGTTGATTAATATTTGGGTTATTTCTCACTTTTGGCTATTATGAATTACATTGGTGAACATTCTTTACAACTCCTGTGGGGGCCAGCATTTTTATTTTTCTAGGAGAAGTATTAGGGAGTGCTATGGGAGGTGTGTGTGTGGCTTGAGAAGTTGCACTGGCACTTCTGCAGACCATGTGTGTGTGCTCCACTCCTCACATTCTCCCCAGTGGGCATGTGACAGGCCTTCACAGACTTTTTAGAAAGTACTTATATAGAGACAAAATTTACACATACTGGTAGTCATCTTTTTCATTGTACAGTTTGAGGTGTTTGGACGGTTGTGTGCAGCTCTGTAACTGCCGCTACAGTCAGGCAACTGTGATCTTCTGAAAGGTTCTGCATGCCCTCTGGCCACCACCGATGGATTTTCTATCACTGTAGTAGAGTCGTCTTCCCTAGAGTTCCCTGTCGGTAGATGCATATGGCATCTATTCTTGTGTCTGGCTTCTTCTGCATAACCTAATGATTTTGAGATTTTTCCATGTTGTTGTGTGTATCAGCAGCTTGCTCCTTTTGGTTGCTGAGTAATATTTTTTGTTTGGATGCACCACAGTTTGTCCGTTCATCTGCTGGGGGCCATTTGGGCTATTTCCAGCTTTCAGTCATTGTGAATAAAGCTACTGTGAGCACAGCAGTCCAGAGACCCTCTACTGTCGTCCTCAGAGAACAGGCCCTGTTCCCTGTTGGGGAGGGGGTCGGTAAGGGAGCCAGGTAACCTCACTGCTTACTCAGTAGAATTCCAGCCACTCACTCTTCCAGATCAGAGCCCTTCATCAGCTTCCAGAAACAGGTTGATGACCTGTAGTTTCCAGGTCTTTGGGGAGGGGCTTTCCTGGTATCAGGCTGTGTCTTGACTCTCCTCACTGCTAGCTAGCTGAGAGTACACTCAAGTACTGCTAAATAATTTTACACTTCGGCTTTTTAGGCTTCAAAATGCTGTCTTCTCTTCCATTCTTGGTCTGTATGGCTTTATGTCTTTTTAGTTCTTAATCTGCATTATTGCTATTTTCATGTCATTTTGAGTGGGGGCAAAAGCAAATGTGTATGTTCAACCTGCCTCCTTGACCCAGAAGCCAATCCCTGGTGTTTGACAGGCTTCTCTTTTTGTGTTTGCTATAATACACAACACTGTGATGAGTGTGCTTACAGTTCTTTATAAGTTACAAGGGGTCTTCAAAAAGTTCATGGAAAGATTCATATCATCTTTTATTCTGTTTTTTCACAAATTTCTTTAAGACAGATTTCTAGAAGTGGAATTGTGGGATTAAAAGATATACATACTGGGGCCGGCCCGGTGGCACACTCGGTAGAGTGCGGCACTTGGGAGTGTGGCGGCGCTCCCGCCGAGGGTTCGGATCCCATATATAGAGACCGGTCCGCTCACTGGTTGAGCGCGGTGCGGGCGCGACACCAAGGGTTGCGATCCCATTACCAGTCACGAAAAAAGACAAAAAGGAAAAAAAAAAGATATACATACTGTTGATGCCAAATTGAGCCCCAGGAAGGCCATACCAATTTATATTTCAGCAAGACAGGACAGGCATTTATTTCCTGTTCTTGTGTGAACATACAGTCTGTAGAACTTTCTCCTTTGGTCTTTTTTCCTCCTCCCCTAACACCCCCAGCACACACACATGCACTCACATGTGTGCACACTCATATGCACAAGGCCTAAGAAATAGAGTCAGATCTTAGTGGAGGAGGGATGGGTGGCGCTGCTGATGCTGCCATCTGATTTGATTGAGTTGTTCACAGGCTGAAACACTGCCTGTCTCCTCCCTCCACACACCTCCTCCTCCTGTGCCTGGCACAGGTTTGGGTGAACTCAGGCCATTGGCTTCTTTGTTCCAGGTTACACTCCCGGCACACCTTACAAAGTGTCCTGTTCCCCCACCAGTGGGGCCGTGCCACCGTACTCCTCTTCCCCCAACCCCTACCAGACCGCCGTGTACCCCGTGCGAAGTGCCTACCCCCAGCAGAGCCCGTATGCACAGGTATGCTTGGGCACAAACCACCATGTGGGAAGGGTCAGTTCCATCTGAGCTCTCATCCTTGGTGTGGGGACCCCCTGTGACAGTTCTCTCTCTCCTCCCACAGCAGGGCACGTACTACACACAGCCGCTGTATGCGGCACCCCCGCACGTCATCCACCACACCACGGTGGTGCAGCCCAACGGCATGCCAGCGACAGTGTACCCTGCTCCCATCCCTCCTCCTAGAGGCAACGGGGTCACCATGGGCATGGTGGCTGGGACCACCATGGCCATGTCGGCAGGTGAGTCCATGTTCTTGGGTGTCTACAGTTGCATGAGAACTGGGGGAGCAGAGAGCTCATGAATACTCACACCCTTGGCAGTGGTTTTTCATGGAAGGAACAGCAAATTATCTTACTTTACCTCCTGTCTTTTCCTTCCCCTTCTTTCTTTAGTTGAGAGGAGACTGGAGTGTGGGGTATAGAATAACAAACCATGAACCAAGTGACCTCCCCTGTGGAGCATGACTGAACTTGATGGGGTCACTTTGTTGACAAGCCAAACCATTTGGAAGTAGGGATGAGAAGTGACCAGACACCACTCCACCCCCTATAAGCACATAAAGTTGAACAGGGTGGGGTGGGGGGGGGATGCTTTGTGTTCCAGGTGGAGTTGCCCCTGTTGATACTTCCCTTTAGTGTGAACTGTCTTTGCAAGTCAAGTTTTATTAAAGAGGAAGTCTTCATGAATTTAGGAAAGCTGGTCTTCTGTTAATAGGTTTTCATAAATCTAGGAAAGCTGGTCTTCCAGAAATAACAGCTGCTTATAGAAATCCTTTGACTTTCATTTGGTTGACTTCCCAAGGCCTCCTCTGAGTCAAGAAAATAAACCATGGAAAGATGAGACCCCTAGGTAGGGTGGGCAAGTCACCATGGAAGCCCTGGGGACTTGATCTAATGTCTAGGGCTTAGATACTTCCAGACTTTTGGGTAAATGTGGCACCTTTGTGCTGTGCCCCACATGAGGTGCACTTTTGGTTTGCCCATGACTGGGATTTTTTTTGTCAAATACTGTTCCCTCTTATTTTTCTGGATTTTACTTCAGTGTAAGGGAATTATGCCAGAGAGAAAGGCGTTCCAGGATGATGTGTATGTTTCTGCTCAGAATCCATTTGTTTTGGTTTTTTGATGCTTATCTGTCAGCACAAGGGGAGACTGTGGCATAGACACATGTGCTTGAGGCACATGGAAGGACAGCAGCAGGTCTGCAGGGAGTGAGGGCCACTGTTGTGTTTGAGGTGGTGCGTGTCCATAAATGGACTCAGATAGACATTGAATTTCTGTAGTTACAGGAACAATATATTTATCTTAATGTACTCAGAAGTCCTTTTCTCATTTTTTAAAATTTATTTTTACCGTTTTAGCCGTTTTAAGCATACAGTTCAGTAGTGTTACGTATATTCACGCTCTTGTGAAACAAACCTCCAGATCTTGTTCATCCTGCAAATCTGAAACTCCTGTACCTGTTAAACAAAAACTCCCCTTTCCCTCTGCCCCTAGTCCTGGTAACCATTCTATTTTCTGTCTCAGAGTTTGTCTACTCTAGATACCTCTAGAATCATAAAGTATTTGTGGAATCATACAGTATTTGTCTTTCTGTGGTTGGCTTATTCACTTACCGTAATGTCCTCAAGGTTCATCCATGTTGTAGTGTGTGTCAGAATTTCCTTTTCTTTTATTTATTTATTTATTTAAATTTATTTATTTATTTATTTTTTGTCTTTTTCCGTGTCCGGCAACAGATCGCAACCCTCAGTGTTGCCCCCGTACCGGACCGGGGACCGGCAACGGGATTGCAACCCTCGGCGTTGCTCCCGCGCCTCGCTCAGCCAGTGAGCAGGAACCGGTCTGTATGTGGGATCCGAACCCTCGGGCGGGAGCGCCGCCGCGCTTCCCAAGCGGCGCACTATCCAGTGCGCCACCGGGCCGGCCCAGAATTTCCTTTTCTTTTTAAGCCTGAATAATATTCATTTTTTCAGTTTATCATCTGACCCACAGAAATGATTGGATGTGCTCTATGAAAGGGAGGCGCAGGCTTTTACAAACATGTTATCGATATCAGCTTGCTGTGCTTATACAACTTTCCATGTGATTATCTAATCAGACTTCTGACATCATTTTGGGTGAAGACCATCCCCTCTTCCTGTGTACCTTCCTCCTTGCAAAGAGGCCCAGGACAGCGTGCACTTGTGAGAGGGCCTGGAGCTGTGCCAAAGAGATCGGCCTGTGCAGTGTGTAGGCCAGCCTCGTGCATTACATGCTACTCTTTCTTCCAGGCACCCTGCTGACTGCTCACTCTCCAACTCCTGTTGCCCCCCACCCGGTCACTGTGCCCACATACCGGGCCCCAGGAACACCCACCTACAGCTATGTGCCCCCTCAGTGGTGATCACCCTGCATATGTAAGTGACCAGTGAAGGCTGGCTCTACCTTTTATCAAAAGTGCTTTTCCCATTAGAGAATGGCAAGCCTACCACATATTTAAACACTATCAAGAAAAATACACATGACCCTTGATCCAAGGGCAGAGTAATGTTTAAATTTTTGTTCTTATTGAGACTCAGCAAAGTAGAAAAAAGGAGGAAACCATTGAGTATTTACTGTTTGCACTATATTTTTTGATCCTTACCTGGAATGTGCTTGTATCCCTCACTTGCCTGCTGCAGGAAATAGGGTTCCAGTTATAACTGGGGGTCTCTGTGACATGGGTGGGAACCAGGTCCAGTGGGCCTACTCAGCTGCTGCCCATTCTGGCCCTAGTGGACCTCATCCTCCTTGAATCCTCAGAACAGTGGTGCCAAAAGAGCTGTGTGTGACTATGTGTCTTTCTCCCCCCAGGTTTGAGGATGGAGCTGTGCAGTCCCATCATTGAGGTTCCACAGCTGGTGCTGCAGGCCTTGCGCCTCCAACCAGGACTTTCTTCTTAATGCTCTCAACACTTAGCTAAACACGACTACTTCCCAGCCCAGCAGGTCCCAGCGCCGTTAGTCTCCAACTAACTCTGGGTTGGTCTTAAAGCAAATCCTGTTTTGTGGACTGCCTGGCAATTTTTAGCTAACTGTAATGATAAAAAGGGAGTATTAATCTATTCTGAGTCATATCTAGTTGAATGCATGTTTTAAAAAAAACAAACAAAAACAAAGCTTGCTCAATCTACCTGCAGTGACTGATGCAAAACCATCATATGCAAAATCCAAAGGAATGGAAATGTATTTTACAACTTGTATCACTAATGCACTGTTGTAACGTATGCAAAGTCTTAAAGTTATAAGTGTTAAAGTGAATTCCTTCATAGAGCATTTGAAATATCTTAGATGATTCTTTAACCTTTTGGAGTTGATGTGGGTTGCCAGTCAGAAACATGGACTTTTAGTTTTCAGTGACCTGTTTCTTTGGTACTGGCTGCACTGGGAGGGAGTTGCAGGGATAGGGAGTAGGGAAGCCACAGCTGCTGGGGTGCAGCCAGTTAATGGGTGTCCCTTTCTTTCCATTTAGGCTTGGTGGGGTTAGTGGCATAGGGACACGCTTAAAGATCATTATGAAAGATGAGACTTGTGTGGCCAGTACAGTTAGGGCGAGGGGGTGGTTTATGTATCAGCAAATTCTCTGCTATCTAAATTTTCATTACAAGTCTCTTACAGAGAGAGACAACATTTTATATATCTGTATTGGAAAAGTCGTAAGTAGATCTAAATTATTTTCCTGGAATGGAAGATATGTGAATGAGAAACAGCCACACCTGGATGAGGTATTGTTGTCTGCTTTATTTAGCTTAGAAAATCATTCCATTTTTTCTTGAGAAATGTTTGAGTCAGCTAAAAACATGTAAGCATCGCTGTTTTTCCCCCACAAAGAAGGACAAAGATTTCAGCTGTATGTTATGAAGAAAGTTGTATATTTAAGAATGATTAAAAGGGAACAAAATTTTATTTAAAATTTCTCATGTTTCTTGTAGAGTGGCAGGGCCGTGGATATGTCTGCAAATGTAGAAACCTGTAGCTTCTCCTGGGATCATCCACCTGATGGTGACTCGACCTCTGTGACAGGCTGGAGGGGACTCCTAGGGACAGGGCAAGGGGAGCAGGGCTGGTGTCTGTTGTCTGTGAGCCTCTTCTGCCATCTCTTTTTGCAACTGAAGACACTCAGCGCACAGCAGGTGCAGACAGCAGAAAGGGCTGGGCAGCTCGGAGTGCACTTACCTGCCAGTCTTTATTATGGAAAGGATATTGAGTTTAAAATCTGAATATTGTATATAAGAAATCAAGAGGATTTTTTTTTTTGGCCTAAATGTGCGCACTTGTATTGATAGGAGTGTGTGTCTGTTCTCAGTTAGGGTCAGAGGGGGTGGGGGTTGTGAAGACTGTTCCCTTTCAGTAGTCTGTTGGGGGGACGAGGGGGTGCATCCTATTTCCACCCAAGTACTGTGGGCTTTGGTTGGGGAGGGGACTCTGCTCTTACATCTCTGGCAGCTAGGTCAGGGCTGTGACGCTGATGTAGAGGATGCCTCATTAGCGTTCAGTCCCAGTTTGTGGGTGGGACACCTGACCACTGAGCCTTTGGTAACCTTATTTTTTATAGTAAGTACTCTTCATATTTTTCTTTTTCACATTTTATTTTATAAGAAGTGTAGGTTATTTTTGCATGGATCATTGTAAACAAGATTTCTTATTCCTAATGTCTATTAACATAGAATGTTTACTGGTAAGTACTTTAAATTGCTTCATGAGCACTTAACCCACGTGCGTGTGCACGCGCACGTGTGTGTGTGTTTAGCCATCATTTTCCCCAGCCATTCAGTCTGTGTTCATATCTTTAAGTCTGTGTTGGTGACTCCATCTGTATAGTGGATGGTTTGCATATATCAGTAGGTTCTGAGGGTTCCAGGAGCTCAAATGACCGAGTAACAGAGAAGTCAGTTTCCCCAATTGACTGAAAATAGATTAGGAGAAAATACTCACAGTTTTAGTGCATGCTTTAAAAAAGCCTCACAAAACAAAAATGAAAACACACACACACCTCTGCACATAAGGGGTGAAGTCATTCACATTTAGGAGGAAGTTTTAAGAATTATATAGGATGTCTCAGGCTTATTTGAGACTTGGCACACACACGGTGAGTGCTTTCACAAGCGCTCAATTAAATGGTGTTCAAGAGAAAAGAGTGGGTTGCGCTCCCCCCCCCCATTTACATCAACTTCATGAAAACTTTTCTTCCTCCCTATAATTATTTTTTCTTAATATTTTTTTCCCTTTCATGAAGCTGAGTTGAGATTTTATCAGATGCTTTTTTTTTTTCCTTTTCAATTTGAAACTATGAGGGCATCAGCTATCAGATATGATGAAAGGTAGATCTTATCAGGTAATATGAACAGTGACAAAACTGTCATAGGTTGTAATTTTAGCAGTATTCAGTTCCAGTAAAATTAATTAAGGAATAGAATTTGGGTCAAAATTGTTACAGTCTTGCATAATTTGGCATCCCAAGCATATTGTAGAAATATTCTAAGAAATCTTGCTTTTTGTGTGTGACATTCCTAATTTGAGAGTCTTTCAGCTGAAGTATTCTTTTAGAATTGAGACAGGCAAGCAAAGGACCTAATTCCTGTAAACATGGACATCATTGTGGATATTTTAAGGTTTTTGTTCTGCACCTTCTCTGAGGCTTGAGAGTTGTGTTCTATCAGCTGTGTAGCTACTGCTGTTTCTCTGCTCATAGAAATCTTGTTTGGATCTGGGCTGGGAGGTTGCATGTTTCATGTGGAGAGAGTGTCTCTCCATGAGCTCGCTGCCTCTGAGAAGTGAGGCCAACCTTAGGGCCAGGGCCAGTCATGGGAACAGACACAAAGGCACTTCCAGAACCATCTTCTAAGAACATTCTTGTTGGTCTGGTTGTTAGATCTGCCAGTTGCTATTTTGTGAAACTGTTGAGTGCTATGCAAATGTAGTGTTTACTGGAGATGAGGGGGGTCCTGAGCCTCAGGCTGGGCACCTGGTCAGTGAGTGTCCTTTCCTTCCCCAGCTGGGCATACAGTGCCTTGCTCCACCTGGTAGCATCATCTGGCTGTGATGAATGATGTCTAGGAAGTGATTTGCCTGTGTCTTTTGGGGGGCATGTCAATAATGAAATGAAATAGATTCTTAACAGCAAGTTGTCACCACACAGGGTATCTGTGAGTGGGCCAGTGGGTGGTGGGGAAGGGCTGGCACACACTATCTGTATAATATGGGAGGTCTGCTTTAGAAAGGAGATCCAGTTTTCATCATCGTCTGTCCTTTTTAAACGTTGGAAAACAGTATTACTCTGACCACCTGGCCACTTTCTCCTCCTCCGGCAGCTGATGTGGTTGGACACCTCAGTCACTGACAGCCTGGGTATCGCCCAGGACAGGACCTCCAGTGGGTGCAGCGGCAGGGGTGGGGATGGGGGGTGGCTTGAGGTGGGCTGCAGCATCTGGTCTTTCTGGTGCTTTTTAAAGAGCAGTGTGGTTGACTTACGGGAGGGCAAAGAGCTTAGCTGTCCTCCCCAGCACATCTCGTGTGTATGCATGCGTGTGCGCACGTGTACACATATGTGTGCATGTTTTCTCTGAGCTGCTTGTTACTCAGCCTGAGCTTTTTGAACAGTGGCAGACTTTGACTATATTGCAGATGATACACTGGTGCGGGGGAGGGTGTGCTCATTTAGGATAGAAAGTGGCAAAGTTGATCTGGCATGTATTTCAGAGGGTGTCTCTCTTTTCCCTGCAACCCATTCATTTGAAGAACAGAACACCTGTGAGGAAAGCCTTGTTTTAGTCCACAGGACTAAATAAAGTCACTTGGGATAGGAAGGCAGAGGAGCAGCATAGCATCTCTGTTCAGTGAACCCCGGCGAGCTTCAGAAGGGGTGGAATGTTCCCAGGAATGGCAGGACAGGCGTCTGCTCACGTGGTATGGCGTTCCACCCAGCGAGCAGCTGCCCCTTTGGAGTTTCTTCCATGGGTCTTATCTGCAGACTAGTAGGCAGCAGAATACACTACTTGGGCCAGATCTGAGACGGCTGTTTTGAGCTCCTGGCAGGGTTGCTGTGATGGCCACTTGGAGCAGAGGCTTCAAGGAGCCTCATGGGTTGTGACTGAATAGGAAATGGTTCCTTTTTTTTAAAAAATGGTTTTTAAATACTATTTTTTACACTGTTCTCTTGGTACTTTTTTTAAGCTTAAGTCAGCATTGTCTTCCAGTGTTAAAGGCATCCCTCACCTCTGCATTGAACTTAGGTGTCAATACAAAGGAATTGAACATCCATCCTGAGCCAGTTCAATTAGGTGTAAATTCATACTATTTTAATTTTTTTTGCAATCTGATGAGTAGATGAGCTCAGATTTAAAATTCTCAAAAGCACGTTTATTGTAACAAGAATTGTTATGTACTGCAGTTTTCAATAAAGATTGACTTGTGTTGCATGTTTTGGTTTCCATGATTTTTCCATGTGTGTTTTGTTTAGAGGTAGGCTGGCCAGACTGGGGGGGCTGTAGGTTCTCTTCAGGAATTGCCAGGGGGTTCAGGAAGAAGGCCATTGTGGCATTCAGCCCCAGTGAGTGACCTTGGCAATAGGGAAGGGTGTGGTGGAGGCAGCGGGTTGTGGGGGGTGGGGTACAGGGAAGGAAGCAGCCTTGGGCTCTTCTTCTCCAGGGTCCTCCTTGAAAGACACGTTTTTCTTCATTTCACTGAGGAGGATGCTGAGGCCCAGAAAGATTACAACCCACCTGTCCCCCCAGCTCACATCAGCCAACTCCAGCTAGACTAGACATGGATTTTGGGAACAGTTAAGAAACCAGACTTCTGGGCCGTCTGAAGGTGTGAGGGGTGGAGCCAGCTGTATCCCACACCTGGTGTCTCCTTCTTCACTGTCCCCTCCACCCAGCTCCCCAGGCCTCTGAAGCACTGAGCCCAGCCATCTTAGCCTGGCTCCACCAAAGCCCTGAGGGCATGGTCTGCAACTTGATTGCCCCCATCCCACCTCTGGTGGCTGCTGGGCTTATTCCTCTTCTTTAGGGCTAAGCCCCTGGCAAAGACCGGGTACCAGGCAAGGAAGGATGGGCATGGGGAAGAGAGAATGCATACACACCAACAGAAAACTGGCAGCCAGGTTACTTTTCACAAGTTTCTTTATCAAATTAAATGTGGTTTCTGGCTTGAAGAAGGTATAGTGCAAGAGTGACTGTCCATGCTCCTGAATCCCGTAGGCACTGCACCCACATGCCAGGCCCTGACTGCACTCCTGGTGCCCCTCCTCAGTGGGAGGGGACTCCCTCCATGTGCCCGTCGCCTGGGTTTGTGGACACTGGGCCACAAAATTCACTCTTTATGGCTTCTCACGCTCACTAGGGTAAGGCAATCTTTCTGTGTCACTAACAATTATTTTTCTCCATTGTTAGAAAAACAAGAACAAAATCCAAACCGAAAAACAGCAACCAGGTAGTTCTGGAGTCACTCCACAGTGACGGATGGACTGGGCACAAACCTGGATCAAAGTACACAGCTGACTGTACGGTTTTGTTCTTTCCACTACAAACACATACATCACAAGTGAGGAGGGTGCCCAGTAGCTAGCAGTGTCTAGAGGGGCTGGGAGGCAGAAAGGCAGGCCCTGGGCCAGACATTTGAGCCCAGAATTCCTGCTTACTACCCTCCAAGGTTGCAAGCTGCCTGGCACCACCGGCTGGGCTGTGGGTGGGGGCCTAAAAGAATTGAAGAGCTGAGGGACACATGGCCTGTCTTTGCAGGTGGCCAAAGGCCAGAAAGTTGGTCTCTCCTGCCCAGAGAAAATGGGAGGAGGAGGGATAATCGGATTTCCAAAGAAGAGGGTCCAGAGCAGCCAGTGCCTTCTGCATGTCAGCCCGGTCGGTGGTTCTGAGCTGTGATTCCCAGGTTCACAGGCAGTGGAGGCACCCCACGGGTCCGGGTCCCAGGAGGGGGGCCCAGGCTGCGGGGGGGTGTTGCATGTGCGGGGTCTTGCCTCTTCCTGCTGGTCTCCTCACTGTACCAGAAGTGAAGAAACCAAGAATAGGAGCACAGACCTGACACATCCTGGTGGCACCCAGTGACTCCCTTGCTCAGCTCTGCTCAAAATAGGCAAAGGAGGGCCAGAAGTGAACCTCAGGGAGGAAAAGCTGGGGACTGCTGGCGGGCAGGTCTGTAGAGTGCTGTCAGGTGGGTGCTGGCTCACTTGCGGAAGGGTGCCAGCCGACTGAGGCTGTGCCAGAAGGTGGATGGCTTCCGCCTGGGCTCCGCCAGCACCAAGAACTGCTGCTGGGGCCGGCTGGAGGGCAGTGCTGGGTGCTTCTGGCGCGTCAGGTAGCAGGGCCGGCCGACGGCTGGGCAGGGAGAGACAGCAGAGGGTCATCAGTGCCCAGAGCACCAGGTGGCACAGGGCAGAGGCAGCCTCTGCTGTTGGGGGGTAGACTGGGGCCCATACCAGGGCTCTGCCTAGATCTCCTGTAGGAGGCAGTTTTGCCACAAAGGACTTGCTTCCCAGGGGGCTGACCACACCAAGGAGCCTGGGCCTGGACTGCAGCCTGAAGAGGGGATCACCTGGGGGGACTGTGCAAGGCATGTAACATTTCGCGGCCTTGGCTCTATGTGTAGAAATGGGGAGATAGTTCCTTTACCAGGCAGCTGCTTCCCTGGGGAAGTGTGCACTGCCAATAATGGTGCCCCCCCTGCGGGGGCTGGAGGGGGTCTAGAGCAAGAACCTCAGCTGTATACTGACCCAAGATTTATCACCGGTGGCCCCTTAGCACCAACCTTTGGGAACAATCACCTGCAAAGGGCAGTGGGCACCTCTGAGAACCCGGTTGGCTAGCTGGCTTTGCTTTGGGGGACAGAAGGAAATGCGGTCAGGGCAAGCAACGGGCGGTCAAGGCAAGCAATGGGCGGCCAAGGAGGTGGGACCACCTGCCCACTTACCTTTGGGCTTCCCTGTGGTCTGCTTGCTGGCATTCAGCATGGCCTGCTTTCTCTGCAGCTCGGTGATGGAGAAGCCTGGGTGGAGGGCCACAAGTGAGATCCCAGCTCGTCCTCTGCCCTGCCTGTGCTCTTTCTCATGCTGTGATTCCCGGCCCCAGGTGCAGCCCTCTCAGTACACACCTGCGCCTCCCACAGTGCCTGGAGTCCCATCACGCCTGGGGGAATAAGTCCTGGCACAGCAGAGACTGTCCCCATCCTCCTCAGTCAGCCTGCCTTAGCCACCCAGTGCAGAGGAGATCCTCAGGGTTCCCAGGTAGAGAACAAAGATCCTCTGCCCCATCTCTCACCTCGACCCCATACATCACCCCCACTGACCCTGTGTCTAGTGCTCCTCCTCTCCACCACGTGGAGGCCCTTTCCCAGTCCAAGAGCCAACCCGGTCACTGCCAAGTGTAACATTCCAGCTCATGAACAGGAGGGGAGATGCAGTAGGGAGACATGCCTGCTCTTGTTGGGTGGGGGAGGCTTCCAATACTCTCCCAGGGCTTGCGCTGGCTGCAAAGGGGCTCTCCCAGGCCTCAGCAACCTGGGGCACTAAGCAGAGGGCCACCGCCTGTGGAGTGCATGTCTGTGCACATGTGTCTGTATAGTGAAGCAAATCCCCCCACCCCACAAGCCAGCAGACTCATGCCCTGAGGCTGAATGCTAAGGAGATGGGACACGGTGAGGTGACCCTCCTGGTGGATGACAAAGGCAGTGCCTTGTGCTCACTACTAGGACCAAGAGGTGTCGAGACTTGCTAAACCCTGAGGCCCTCAGACTGAAACATGCTGTCGGTTTCAAGGCTGTTCTGACCGCCTGGCAGCCAGGCAGGGGTGGGAGGGCTGAGTGGGCCCTAGAGGCGGGGCAAGGCCCGGCAGGGTCTCGCACCTGTCTCCTGGTCCAGCCGCACCTGCTCCCTCTCCCTGGCAAAGGCCTTCAGCCAGCGCTGCTTCTGCTCGGGCTTCCTGGTGCACAGCAGGTGGCTGTCCCCCGTGGTGCCACAGCACAGCCGGAAGGCATTCTTGACACTCACGTGGAGGTCTCTGTCTTTCCCGTCCTCCAGGTCCACCACCTCCAGACCGTCCATATCCAGCCGGCCCTTGTAGTACAGCACGTCCCGGCGGAGCAGGTCCTGCCAGGTGCTGCCTTGAGCTCTGGCCACTGAACTGCTCACCTAAATGTGTCCCTGCTCCCCCACCCCCCACCCAGCCACAGGAGGGGCTGGTGACTGCACACCCACTTCCCCTGCAGATGGTGAGCTCCTAAGGGCAGAGCAGGCCTGGTGCGGCTCACGACTGCTGAACCCTGAGTGGAGGAGCCACGCTCGTTCAGTGCGTGGCTGACTGACCTGGGGGTTGGCCCTGTCTTCGAGGTGCATACAGTCTGGTGGGGAGACAGCCATGGAAACTAACACCGCACAGCAGAGAAGCACACCAGTGGACAAGGAGGGCCTTACGGACAGGGGGCCATTGGGCTATGTTTTGAGAGAGGAGCAGAAGCTAGCAGCGTAGAGGAGGCAGCGAGAGCAGAGGTTTGCAGGGAGAGAAGTGGCTTGAAGAGCATGCAGGAGCCAGGCCAGGAAGGAGGATGTCCTCAACAGCACCCAGCCCTCGTTTGACTGTGAGAACCGCCCTATGGTCTCTAGGCCACTAGGCTCACTCAGCAGAGAACCACCCTCATCCCACCCTGGCCCGACCAGGGCTCTGCCTGCCTGTGGTGTGACGGGCTTCTTTCCTCTGGGAAGCTGCTCCTGGCCCTTGGTTTCGCTCCCACCACCTGCTCTATCTGGGGCCCGTCCAGCAGGACAGTGAGACTGGTACCTTCTTACAGTAGATGAGCTGGTGGTCAAAGAGAAAAAACATTCTTTGCTGGCTCCTGGCTTGAGGCTGTATAACTCGAGTCAACTCCCCCGAGTAGATGAGTTCCGAGCTCCTGACCAAGAGATCTTCCCCCTGGAGGGCCCCAAGACGAGTCGTGAGCTGGGTGCACCCAACCTTGGGCTCCACTTCTTGCCTCCCCCAGCCCTGCCTGCCTGCAGCCCACACTGGGCCAGGCCGTAGTGGGACGGTGTCCTTGAAGCCCAGAAAAATACTCTGGTTCCCCTATGTCCTCAAGATGAGGGCCAAGGAGGGGGTGTAAAAAGATGGGCAGGTGTGACCCACACGTTGGCTATCCTTGCAAAATAGGACACCACTGTAGCCAAAGGCCTTACATGGCTCTTGAGCTCTGGAAATACAGCTAATCCATATCGAGATGTCACGTCAGTGTAAAATACACACCGATTCTGAAGACAGTATGAAGTAAAAAATGTAAAATATCTTATTAATGATATGTTGATTACAAGCTGAATGATACTCTGAATATATTAAGCTAAATAAAATTTTATTAAAATTAGCTCCGCCTGTTTCTTTTTTTCCTTTTTTAAGATGGCTACTAGAAAGTATAGAAAACCATATGTGGCTCACATGATATTTTTGATTGGACAGTGCTGCCCTAGAGAAAAATTAGGTCTGGCTAGAATTCACCTCTGAGGCTGATCTTTAGGGTTTCTAAGGAGACCCTCTTCCCAACTATTTAGTACCTGAAGTTCAGCTACTGGGGGCTTCAAAACGTTCTGACTAAGCTCTGTCCCTTTTCAGTTCCTCTCTGAAAATTCAAACCACAGCCAGGAGTTGTTGGCAGCCATCCGGTTTGGGATGAGTGAGTTTGTAGGGGTCCTTAGCCAGGACTGGGTCTCAGGACCAATCACTCACATTGCTCAACCCTACCCCAGGGATTCTAATTCAGTATATCGAGGGTGGGGTCCAGGAATCTGTATTTTCATCACATTCTATGGCTTATTCTGGTTGATTTTCATGTAGTATCTCTTGCTGATAGCTGTAGAGCTCTGGGGCTTACAGGGAATAGCATGGAGGTGCTGGCAGCACCATGTGGGTAGGGAGCCCTCAGGAGCTATATGGGGAGGAGGCAGATTGGCTGGTAGGGGAGGGGCAGAGAGGCCCCTATGCCTCTGGGGGACAGAAATGTCATCATTAGTTCAGGCCTTGGTGTTTCCTTAGAAAGCAAGATGGGAAGATACATGGGTAATGTGCAAGCCAGGAGAACAGAACCAGGAGGTGATTCATTTTTGGTGATACTGTATTGAGCTTAAACTCTTCTAAGTTGGGAGTCCCAGAAGTTAACTAAAATTCAGGTATCTGGCCTGTCCCCTGAGGGCAGAAGAACAGAAGGACACTTCTGAGGAACATGCTTCCTCTGTTTTGGGCCTCTCCTGAGCTGGCTGGCTACTCCCGGGAGGAGCGTCCTATCTCATACAGGATGGGAGCCACCAGGAGTCAAAGCCACCCCTGAGTGAGGGCCGGCTTTCCCGCCAGGAGTGAACATTGTTCGCTAGCTCCCTGCTTCAGCTCCCTCCTCAGTTTTTTAGGGGCAAGCGTGATTTTTTTTTTTTTCTTTTTTCCATTTTTGTCTTTTTTACTGACCGGTAACGGGATCGCAACCCTCGGTGTCGCGCCCGTACCGGGGACCGGCAACGGGATCGCAACCCTCGGTGTTGCACCCACACCACGCTCAGCCAGTGAGCGGGAACCGGTCTCCACATGGGATCCGAACCCTCAGCGGGAGCGCCGCCACACTCCCATGCGGTGCACTCTCCAGTGCGCCACCGGGCCGGCCCAAGCATGATTTTAAAGAGGCCAAGACCCCATGGTATTTTCTGGGCCCTTGGGCCCTCACCTCCCAGTCCTCTATGGAGCTCTGCCACTGAGCAATCTTGTCAATGTTTTCAAGTCTCCGTTTCCGTTCATTGATGAGCTGGGCCACATTCTTCATGGCATGCAAGGCAGCTTCAACATCCTTGAAATCCCTGGGCAGAACAGAGACGGAAGGGTGCTGCAAGCTGGAGAGCAGAGACAGGGTGGGAGCCTCCCGCAGCCCCCACATGTGGAGCTGCTTCCCTCCGGGGCTGTCCCCCTTGGCCATAGCCTTGCCTGTCAAATGCACAGTCCCTCTCTTCCCCATAAAAGCCAGGCACAGGGCAGAGTTTAATATCCTACTGATTTCCTCTTCCCCCACTGCAATAAGAGCTCATGAGAGCAGGGCTTGTTTTATTCTGTGCCATTGCTCCAGTGCATACAGCAGTGCCCAACAGACTGGCTGATGGAAGGTGCGAAGAGCCTTGGCACCCTCCTACCTGTGCTGGGGGGGTGTGTACTTGAGCAGCTCAGCCAGCTGCAGAGGGTACTTGCAGATCTTTTGCACCGGGGTCAGCAGGAAGCCATCCAGAGAGATGTCGATCATCTTTTGCAGCAGCCGACAGGCCTCGAAGAAGTACACGTACTTGCTGAGCTTAGTGAGCCGGGAGAGCTCCACGCAAGCATTGGGGTGGTTGTTGCAGTACTCTGAGTAGATCTGGAAGTCCGCTTGCTGGGGGGACACACGACTGGAGGTTAGGCTGGCTGGCTTGCTCCTGCTCCCCAGGTAACCCAGCCACATGTCTGGGAGGAGGAAGAGCCCCTGTATTTCCTTCAGAAGCTGGGCTCTATCTACTTCACTGGGACACAAGTTACATGGAGTCACACCCCGGGATGGGGAAGACCTCTTGGAATGTGAATGTGTGCCTGTCCCTGCTTTCCCAGCAAGCCCCTCAGCAAATATTTTGACTGTCAGTGTTTTGGATGAAGTCAGTGATACTAATAAGGAAGGGCTATCAAGGCCAAAGGTGGGGTGGGGGCACTTAGAGTTGAAGCAGGGCTGGCCAGTGAGCCCACTTGGGAGAACGTGGTGCTGGTACCACTAGGGTCACGGGTTCAGATCCCTGTACAGACAAGCCACATGAAAAAAATAGAGTGAAAGCAAGCTGTAAATTTCACACAAATTCCAGTCTGCTCACTGCCAGAGGATCACCAGAATCTGCTATGAACAGCTCCTGGGGTGCTTAACAGATGGCCCGCTGCCTTTACCCTTCTTTCCAGCAACAGCACACCTTCTGGGAAGGATGCCCCAGCCCTCTGCCCCCAGGAGGCTTCCCTGACATGGTGTCCCCTGACACAAGCGAGGACCCCTCCTAGAGCTGTTGAAGGGTGAGGGAAGCTGGGCAGACAGAGGGCTCAGGCCCAGCGCACCAACGTTTGGAAGATGTTTGGAAGCTTCCGGGAAGACAGCAACAGGCTGCCTGGGCTTGAGCCTGCAGGGCAGGCCTCTGAAAGGAGGCCGTGGGGGTGCCAGGCGCAAAGGAAGCGAAAATGACAAAGGGCAGGGTGTGTGGGGACAGAACAGAGCCCCCCAGCAGAGACTGGGGGGGCGAAGTCTGGGAGCGGGCGGCGCTCACGTGCTCCAGGAAGCAGGCACCCAGCTCGCTCAGGTGCGGGCGCTCCCGGTTGAACCTCTGCTCCAGGGCCTTCACAAACGCCTTCTGGCACCGGTAGATGTCCTCGATGTTCCCGAAGATGGTGCGCAGCTGCTCCTCGCTGAACATGTCTGCGCGCTTGCGGCACTGCCTGATGTAGCCCTGGGGGCGGGGCGCGGTCAGGGCTCTCTCGGACCCCCGCCCGCCCGCCCGCCCCGCCGGGCCTCACCTCGCAGATGTCACGCAGGTGCTTGATGTAGTCCCGCTCGGTGCTGAGGATTTCCTTGATGACGTTAGTCCGCATCTGGTCCTTGCTGCTCTGCGCCTCCGCCCCGCCGTCCTCGGCCCCGCCGTCCCCGGTTCGCGGGGCCTCATCGTCCGCGGGCTCGTCCTGGTTCACCCGCAGCTGCAGGCAGCGCACGGCGGGTCAGTACCCCGCATCCCTCGGGGGTCAGCGCCCCGTGCCCTGCCGGCACCGCAGCCGCGGGGAGCTGAGTCCCTGAGACCCACAGGACGCACGGGGGCGGAGCTGGCTGGGAAGCTTTCTCCACCACGACACGCACAATGCCTGGGGACAGCGGGCCTGACGACTGCAGCAGCTGTCAGTGTTGCCCTAGACCAGCCAGTCTCCTCAGGAGGCTCGGTGCTCCTCCTCCTCTCATTTAGACTCTGCTTGTGCTCAGCACTGAGCTGGGGTCATTCGCTAGTTTCTGAACCCATGCCGCAGGCCCTCCAGGGGCTGTGATGCAGGCGTATGGTGGCCTTGCTGGCTCTCTAACCTATAACCTGGGGAAAGGCTTGGGGCTCAGAGTGGACAGTTCACCCAGGGAGCCTGGGGCAGGAGAAGCACCTGAAGGCAAGGGACGGGGATCTCGCCTCCTGCCACCCTCAGCCTGGCCTTTTGGAGACTGCATCTGGATTCCTATCTTGGAGACCAGAGGCCACCTTTGGCAGGATCTGGGTGCCCTCCCTGCGATCTCTTGGTCTAATAACTTAACTCGTCCATGTCTCAGTTTACTCAGGTGTAAGTCACGGTTCCTACCTCCCAGGGCTGACTGACAGTTAAATGAGACTACCCACGTAAATGATCTGCAGTGCTCAGTAAGTGCCTGCTAAACTGAGCTGTTTGTGGTGGTGGTATGCTAACACGCATATTGCCTTCAGAGGGGTGTGGGCTGTCTTCACACAAGGTCATTTCTGACCTGCTCTTCTTTCTGGTCCATAAGGACTCAGCAGGAGTGGAGGTGGGAGCAGGGGATAGAGAAGGGCTGTGTCACAGCTCCCTGACACCCACCCACCCACCCGGCACACGGCACCAAGTTCCAGCATAGCCTCAAAGGAGAGGTCCACGCCAAAGCAGCCGGGACCTCAGAGCTGTTTCAGGCTTGGATTTCTGAACAGAGCCAGGTGGCTCTTTACTACCCCGGAGAAGCTCAGGCCAGAAACCATACCCGTACGAAGCTGGCTGGAAACCACCCCTCGCCATCAGCAACGCGGCCCCACCACCACTCTCTGTTGGTGGCGTCCATCACTTCGATGACGTCCCCAGCTTTGAAGCCCAGTTCCTGGTCGTCCATGGTGACATGGTCCCACAGTGCTTCAGCACAGACCACACTGCCATCGCTGATGAGCTGTGGGGAGAGACATGGGCAGATAGATTGGTGGGGCAAGGCTGCCATGGGCCCTCCCCATCAGGTGGGCCGGGCTGAGGTGCTCCCTGCCCTCTGTCCCCAGCCATCAGCAGCCCTGGGAAGAGGGGATCCTCATTCATTTCACAGAGAAGCTGATGGAGGCTTCCTCTAGGCCAGCAACTCTTATGGGGCAGGGCTGTGTCCTGGGCATGTCTAGACAGTGATGAAGCCTGAAGTGCACTGACCACAGAATCTGACAGGTGATCCTCTTGCTCACTCCCTGCTCAGCCGCACCTTCCTCACACCCCACTGAGCTGGGGATTGAGCTATTGCCTGAGTTCCAAACCCACCTTCTGTGGTCTATGTCTGCTTGGTTCTTCTAATGCAGCACTCAAGGGGGGGCTTCAAGGCTGCAGGAGGGCAGGGGGGCTTGCTCTTTCTTGCAGGCTTCTTGTGGACTTGCAGTGCCTGTGAGGCCACCCAACAACCACACAATCTGCTTCATCCAGGTAAGACTGTGCCCTGCCATTGCAGTAGCTGGATCTGGTTTGCTGTTTTTTGGACACTTGTGGAACCAGCCTCATGGCATCTATCCCCCTTCTCCCACTCCCCAGACACCAGCACTTGCTATGCAGTGCCCCTCCTCATGGTTCTAGGCCCCAAGCCCTAGGATTCTAAGTTTTAATTATTCCAAACTCTTCCTTTTATTCCTTAGCTCTACGAGAAATAGGTACTTACAGCTGCTAATTCTGTGATACGTACCTCAGGGGTATCTTGTGCACTTTGTGACGGAGTCAACCACTTTGTACCTAGCTGATAATTCCTTACTTTCCTTTCTCTCTGCTCACATGACTGGCGTGGTCCCTTTCTCCTGAGGGGTTGTGAACTGATTCATCATGAGGCAGGCTCCCATGCCCCTTCCAGGCAGTCCTCACACTGGGATCTGCTGAGCTGACATCTGCTTAATGTGGGCTCCCTTTTCGCTCCATGGCTTCAGGGGCTTAGGGCAGGAGAGGAGGGGTGGGCTGGGCTGCACAGTAGATGAGGTCCATGCCCCTTCCTGCTGGGACCAAGTGTCGGCACTGGCTGTCACAACCACAGGCCCGGCTAAGCAATCAAGGAAGAACTGAAGCATCACTGGACTGGCCCTCTGCACTGACCACTGCTCCACACTGACTGCTCCACACTGACTGCTCCTCTGCACTGCCCCCTGTCCCATGTGAGCCCTCCTTTAGCTTCATGGGTGTTCCCAGGGCAGTGTGAGTGCTAATGCTAACATCGACACAGGACCCAAGAGTGGGCAAACCTCTATGAAGCCTCTGTGCCCACTTTGGCATGGTGAGGGGTGGGGCTGGCCACTGGAGCATTGAAGCTCACTCTGGCTGGGGCCTTTCCTCCAGGGGAGGACTAACTGCTGGTTCTTACTCTTTCCTGGGGGTGAACACTGCTCCAAACCTGATGAAACCTCTCTTTAAGCTAATCCACAAGCCTATGTGCACATGCACCCTCAGTGTAGCAGCTGCTTGGGGGGCTGTAGACTTCCTGAGCTCAATGTAGGGACCCCAGGCACAGAGCACTGGGTTATTCCTGGGGGGCATCAGGCCTCTGCATGGGACTGTCGTACTCATTTCCAGCCACAGACATTCTTCTGCAGGCAGGCCTGGCCTCCAGAATCACAACGTGCTAGCTGCTGCATGGATGGGATGAGACAGGACTCAGCAAGACCACATGTGAAGATCCAGCCTGCTGCACGCGGGGAGGGAAAGAAGGAGGCAGGTGCTCACAGTAGTGTGGGTGAGCCAATGAGAAGGTGGACTGCAGGTGAAATGCCCCTCCTAGGGTCTGTGACCACAGGCCATAAGGAAGTAACCCAGACACATTCAACACAGCTAGCTTCCCACCGGTTCCCTTCCCACCGTTTCCCTTCCCAGGTTGTTCCCACCTGATATTAACCAGGTGAGGCATCTGCCTCTGTCTGCCTCTGTCCCCAGATCCCTTCAAATGATCCCTGAGCAAAAGCCCTTCTCCATGGCTTTGTGTCCGCCATCCCCCTGTCCTTGCAGACAGGTGTGGATCCTACACTGGTGATTTCCTACATATCTGCTGGGGAAGGTCTCCAGGGGTGGAGCACAGAGGCAAGGCCTCACAGAGAGACCAGGGTTCTGGGCACCATAAGGGGCAGGCTTCCACACCCATCCTGCCCAGTCACCTGGAAGCCCTTGGGCAGCCAGAGAGAAGGAGTTCTGCCCTGGTCACCTTCATCGTTTCCTCTCTGCCTGGCGCAGAAGGCATCAGACAGACTCAGGGCTGTGAGCAAGATCTATGATCTCCCTGTGCCTTCCATCAATGCCCCAGTAAGAAACGATGTTTGACCTACCTGAGTCATAAAGCTCCTGTGTAAACCCACAAATGGGAAGTCTACTGAGTTATAGTAGTGATATTAACCATTTCTGTGATGTCACCAAGACATCCAAGAGATCAGAGATTCATTTTATAGGAATCACAGACGTGCTCTACCTACACAGCAGCCCGGCGGTTTCCAGGCAGAGGCCCTTCCTAGTGCTGTCTCAGGTGCAGATGTGCCTGAAGCCAAGACTCACACCGGTAGGCCTGAGGGGCAAGGATGCCAGTCTGGCTCTCTGCCTGGCAGTGGGTCCTAAGGCAGAGATGTTAGGGGATCTAAGGTGGAGGATGGGGTGGGGGTGGGGGGTTGAGTGGTGGACTATCCCAGTGGAGGGGCAAGTTCAGGACTAAGACAAGCCAGACGCAGGGGAAGGATCCCCTCCTGTGCCTCTGAGGTTTTGACAGGCCCCAGGGAGGGCGACACTGCCAGGCTCTGTCTCAAACTGCTCCCGCATGAGCAACACCGCCATTCCCACCCTGCGCATCTCCTCTCTCGCGCACAAGCAGGGTGGGGCGGCTGCCCACCGACAGTCTGGAAACGCCATGGCTGGCCCCTGTGCAGCGGGGGTGGGGTGGGTTTGTGTTCAGAGCGCCACTTGCAAGGGGGGCAGCAGGGGCTCTGCCCCCGTACAGACAACGACTTAACTTATTTTAAGGTCTAAAACAGAAAAAGCAGCTGCGAGTGAAGTGCGCAGAGGTGCCCCGGCATTTTCCACAGACCTCGCTCAGCCCGCACAGAAATGCATGTCCAGCTCCCCTCACCCAGCGGTCACATGCACAGGGTCTCCAGACGACCACAGCAGCCGCGACCACAGCAGCCGCGACCACAGTTGTGTCCGCATCCTGTTACACAGAAACTCGCTATTTGTCCCCCTCCCCCCTCCTCCCTCCACACAGGGTATAGAGGACAGAGGGAAAGACCCCATGGCACGTGTACCCGACGGCGGACCCCCCAAACCCGGCCCTGCCAGTGAACGCATCGGTGGCTGGGCGGTCTCCCCTCTGCGGCCGGTGCGGAGGCCGTGGGTGACAGCGGCTGGAGTGCCACGCAGGCGCCACTCACCGCAGCGCGGTCCCCGCGGCGCCCTGCCCGGCCGCTCAGCGGAAGGCCAGCAGGAATATCAGCACGACGTTGATGAGGACAAGGAACGTCAGCACGGCGGAGACCACCACGCGCTGGGCGCCGGGGGGCAGGTTGCAGCGCAGCAGAGCGCGCAGGGCGCTGCCGGGCGCCGCGGG